GATAATGAGGAGTTTGCTTTGATGGACCTAATTGTGAAATATTTTTTGCCTTCTGACGCCCAGTACATTTTCCCCTCTGAAGGAGCTGTTCTTCAGGATGATTTGTTTTTTCTTTGGTTGAGATACTCTTAGTCAGAAGTGTCCTGTGGACCATGTCCACCTGCAGTCTGCTTTGCCATCAGCTGCTGTCCTCAGCAACCAGCAAGTCACACTTGGGGGAGCACATTTCAGGTATTATCTCATGCACAGAGTCTCCAACCTGTGCTCAGGCAGGAGCTTGAACACAGTAATTACACACTTGTTTTGGGCCTCAAGTGAGCATTTTTGCTAGGAAAGGAGCAGATAAAAATTGAGCATCTTTCTTAGGTACAATACTTTTTTAATTTTAATATTTTAGCAGAATAATCATTTAGGTTAATGTTTGAACAGTGATAGTTTGAAGGCTCAGGAAAAGTGTGTGGCTTCATGTTGTGCAGGAGGGTGAGGGATGTGGTGTGGTTTTCCTTCCCTTAAAAATACCTGTATGGGATTTGCCTTTGTGCAAATTCCATATCCACAGAGAAATAAATGACTGCTGTGTGGAGAGATGAGGATTTAAACAAAATATTGGTAGCTTATTAAAAATCTCCTCTACAGAGGGGTAGCAGGTTTATGTCAGTAAGATTTTTAGATTGTTGGCTGCTGCAGTACTTCTTATTCTTACTGTGAAAGTGTGGAGAAAATGATGCTGAATTGTGACAGTGTAGCCCAGTTTTTTAAGGATGCCCTCCTTAAGGGAATATTCATAGGACTTAATAATGTATTATTCAGCTTTAAGGTTTATTTGTGGAGATTTGAATTCAGGAAATGGCATTGTTATGCAAGAACTGGAGCAGCTAAAAGGAAAGGAGATTAATATGCTAAGATTTGGAAGGAGAAGCTGGGGTTGGAGGATTATGTTAGCTCAGGCACTGATTTTCATATTTAACTAAGAAACTTTCTGTAAAACTTTTTCTTTTTTCCCCTTTGGAGCAGAGTAGGTATTCAGGATCGAGAAGATGTTATTGCTGTATAGAAACTGAAGATGTTTCTAATCCTTGTGCAGAACTTTTCCTACTGATTCAGGAGATCTGGGCCTGCTTCACTGTAGGCCTTTCTTTCCAGGGACTCATTAAAATGAACACACAAGTAGCATCAGATCGTTTTTATTCAGCCATGTTATTAACAAAATAGAAAGCTGGAGTGATTAAACCATGAAACTGTAACTGTCCCTGGGGAACAGCTCAACAATTGTGCCTCAGAATGTTTCCTACTTGATTTCGGTGCTTACTTTCACCAGAGGACAGAGGTAGAAGTCCAGAGATGAGCTCGTGTGTGTCTACAGATAAAAAGGCTGGCATTTGCAGAGCAGCTTACATTGTGTTATGTTTAAAACTGGGAATTTAACATCAGGGGTTTTTTATAAAGATGATACATATTTTAGATATTTCATTTTGATGGTATATACAGTAACTGCAAATCATAAAAAATGTCAAAGTAAGGTTTCATGCCATAAATTATATCACAAAATACTGTACAAAATTCCAGTATAAAAAACCCTGGTATCTCCTATATTGCTTTCTCTTCCTATGGAAAAAAGCATAGCATTACAGCTTTGATATTATGTTAGTTTTTCACTGGGGGAGAAAAATCTCTTTGAACAGAAGAATGAGTTGTAAAGGAGTAAGACTGGAGAAAATTAATCTATAGTGATGAAGTAACTTAAGATCCTCAGGGAATACATACCTTGCCCTGTTAAAAAAAAAATAAATAAAATCCCTGTGGTTTCAGAAAGGAAATAAAGATGGTCAATGTCTTAATGAAGGAAGTACCTAATAAAATGTTAGTATTGAAAAATACTGGCCTGAAAGCCAGTTGAAAGATTAGTTTGTGTGTGTAATCTTTCTTACCTGTCTATGACAAAACCTGGGGCTCTTCATGGATAACTTATGTCCTGTATTCTGTGTGCCCCTTGTGAGTTAATGTTTCTGTGCTGTAACTTCCAGGAAAATAAATGTGCATTGTGAATGCTGTGTCCCACTGCAATTGGACTGCAAGGGGCTTTCTGGCACTCTCAGCTGGGCAGGTCCTGGAGCCCTTTGTAATTTATCCAGCACATCTTGTAGCCTTCAAAACACCCGAGATGTCGAGCTGTGCATTTTGTGTGTGGTCTGGAGGCAAAATGTTCTGACTCTTATGAATGAGAAAGTTGTTGTAAAACTTTGAGTGCCTGGGGAGAGGAGCACATGTGAAAAACAAGGTTCCCAACTGCACAAATTCCTGCTGAGCAGTGTCAGGCTGGGAAGGGGAAAGGTGAGATACTCTGGAGCTCAGTTACACTCCATTCTGTATAAGCATATGTGGTATTTGTGTTTCTTGACTGCACATACCACAAAATACCTAATGTTTGTGGCCCATCATTGTGTGTTAGGAAGTGCCTGACAGGAGTGTGTTGTCTTTAAATTAAAAACTTGATAGTGGAATGTGCAAATAAAATTTACTGAGGACTGAGACTTTGAAGTAGAAACCTCAAAACTTTGGGAAATACTGATGTAGAAAATTCTGAATAGCATTCATGTGCACAAATGTGAATCTTTAAAGTGTTAACACAGATAATCTCTAACTTGCAGGTAGCAAATCTTTAGAGATCTGTGGAAAAAACAAATGGGGAAAGGCAGTTCATCTTAGTAGTCTAATTTAAAAAGGAACATTTCTGTGCCATACCTTGGACAATTGTCATTCCAGAAAAAGCAACAGTAATTTTCACTCATTCAAACTTTGCTGCCATTAAAGAATACTTCTTGGTTTTCTGCTGTTCCTCCTTTAGAAGTGTTTGTTGCTTTTGGCAGGTGAGTACACTAGAAAGCTCAGGATGGTTTGGTTATTTTGGAGGAGCTGGAGCTGTTGGAGAAGATAGGAATTTCTGTTTAGAATGGAAAAGTGATCCTGATGGTCTCTTTGGAGACTGAATGGTCTCTCAAAAATTCTTTTGCTTCTGTATATTAGAAAAGCACTTTTCTGTGGAAAAAAAAGGTTTGTATGTTGGAATTGAAATATTGAGCCAGTGAATACGTGTCCAGATAAATTCCACTAGTACTGTTTTCAGTTTTGATTAAAAGTAACCTTAAAGATTTCTTAGTGTTCACAATGCCAGGGTTAATCTGGCAATACTTGCTTTTCTCACAGTGTTTATACTCCATCCACTGTACACCCTAATTCTGTATATCCATCTGTCTGTGAGGTGGGACAGGGTGAGTGTCCCTGAGCATCAGGAGCACTGTCAGGACACTGATCCCAGTCTCTGTCACACTGCAAATCATCCAGAGCTGGATCAGGGCAGGAGGCACTTTAAACTAGCAGCTATACTTCAGCTTTTCCATCCAAATTGTTGCTTTTAAAGACAATGAGGAATGGAGGTTAGTAACCTTTTCTTTTAAAATAGGAATAATGTTTAATTAGACAGGACTGGTTGGGTCAGGGAGTGATATTTATAGGCTGAGACATTGTTGTGTTGGTCTGACAAATTAACATGTGAAAATTTTTATTTTTAAGTTTTTATGCATAATGAACTTGATATAACCTCACGAAAGCCAGAAGGAAAACCTGTATTTCTTAACATGACTTCTTTTGATTTTTCTTCCATGGACATATGCTGCTAATATTTAATCTTCAACATGTCCTAGGTCATACCCTGACATAATAATTTTACCCCATCAGATCACCTTTCTTTTAAGATGTGGGTTTTTTTGACTGCCTGGAATTAGTTGGTCTGAATTTAGTTATGTTTAAGCATTAAGGATGCACTCTAGTTGCAAAACAAAATCTGAAAAGATACCACATATTTCTTAAACTTTGTGTGCTGTTTCAAAAGAATATGCAATCCAAAACCTCAGTACAAACTCTGGTTACGGGAAGATAATAATTTTTCATTTGATTATCTGTATCAGTACTGCCTATTTATGGAATTTATAGTTATCCCTTGTTTTAATTCATGGTTCTTCTGTTTTTTAATTTTAAGTAACGTTTTTTCTCCTTGTAGTCCCAAAATGTTATCAAATAGCCTGATCAGTTGAACACTCCCTGTATTATGGCACACTGTGTAAAAGCCTCAAGTGGAAGGTAAATCTGAGTGTGGTAAGAGAGAACTTTAGGAAAGAACAAGTATCAGACACACTTAGCTTTGACAAGGCAGCGCAGTGCTGTGCTTCACTGCTTGTAATAGGAACTGGTGTGAGTGAAGGGACATTTTATAAAAAGGAAATTGTAATTAAGGAAATAGCATGTTCCTTAATTACTGTCATTTCAGCATGATCTACAGTGAAATGGTGGTTTATGTCCTGCTTTTTGTAGGATTGTGACAGGCATGGGCTCCAGGGCACATCTGTTTTTTAAGCATTTTTAACATGTAGTAATTCTGCCTGTTGATTTCACAGGTGGAAGGCAGAGCTCCCTAGTCATGTAGATAAGGAAGGGAAGATACAATAGCTCATATGCAGCATCTGGGGGAGAAAAAAAATCTCTTCCAAGACCCATATGATTAATGTAAATGGAGTGAGAAATGAGGTGGAGCACCTAAAGCTCCCAGGCTCCTTTTCCTGCTTAACACAGCTGGGGAAGAGCACAGGACATTCTCCTTTCCCACAGAACATGACTACTCCAGCATTTAGATTATCTCCTTTAGGAGGACTTCAAAACCAAGGATGGGATGAGATACAGGTGGAGATCTAATTAGATCACTTCCCTCTGTAGGCAAACCCTCGTTGCCAGTGAGTCTTTGTGCAGAGAGAAAGGCAGTTTCGTAGCAGGAGGCACCAAGAAAACCAAGCAACTTGTGTGTTAGGGTTGTTTTTGTTGGGTTTCAGACACTGCAAATCTGGCCATCACAAGTAGACCTAAGTATTGCATAATAATAATAATTCCTTTCCAGATACTCTTATCAATCAATCCCAGTGTTGCCCTGTGCAACTAATGCCTGGTGGGAATATGGATCACCTCCTTGGCCAAGTACAGAACTGAGTGTTTAGTCCCAGGACAAGACCACAGGCTGTCTTTCCCTCTCTTCTGGTTCTCTGTGCTGTGCTGCCAAAGTGAGTATTTGATGTTGGATGTGAATTCTGACCCTGGGCACACTTGGTATTTGCAGAGGGCTGGTATTTTATTTGATGCACAACCAGACCGGACTGGTTTTGTCCACTTAAAATAGCAAATTCTAAAGATCTTTAGCTTTGGCCATATTGAATAATTTTCAAACCTTTTTTATCTAATTTTCAGCAGTTTGAATTTCTTGAGGTTCCTGATGTTTTGTCTCTAATAATGTGGGCTTTTTAAGATGGATGGTTCTTTGGCTGACAGGTTATTCCACGGAAGAACATTCGGAGAGTATTTATTGACCGATAGATCCTAATGGCTTCTGAAATGCTGTACCTCAGTTTAGTCTGGAAATCTGAGTAGATATCACATTCTTCTTGTTTGTCTTTTGGGAAAAGATTAATGAGTCTTGTAAATTATTAAGGGCTGTGCTCTCATCTTCCAGACCTGATTTCTCTGAATAGGAGCTGTGTGCTCAAGCTGCTCATTAGTGGGTGGACTGATGGCTGACTGTATGTATTATTGATGACTTGGTGGGAATTTCCTGTCTGGAGAAGGGTGGCAGGCTGATAGAAATGCTTTGCATGGAAAGGTGATGTTAAAAGGTTTGGCATGCTGTGCATTTGTTTTTGGAAGTGTGGGTGTTTGGGCTTATGCCGTGGGGTCCCCAGCATGAAAAGTGGTCACTGGGAAGTTGATGGAATCTTGTCTTGTACCCCTCTCACTGCTCTTACAGACCCGTGAGTTATTTTGCTATAACTGATGTTATCTGAAGCATATTCTTGTAAAAGCAATACACATTTTATTTAGCATGTCTTCATAAATATATTGCAATTTCTACCACTGTTTTACCACACAAAAATGGGCTGTTAAGCAAAGCTAAAGCAATGAGGCAGTAAAGAGTCCTGGAGTTGAGTTTGGCTACTGTAGTATCCTAGATATTATCAAAACCAGCTTCAAAGTGTTACTGCCAGCCATCAGGCTGTTATCCTGCCTGAACTCACCATCCTTGAAGTTTGAATCTGCTCTTAAAGATCTAGGGAGACAAAATTTCATTATTCTGTATCCCATTAAGAGAATATATTACTAGTGTATGTAGGATAACTTTTCTGCTACTGTACAGATTTAAAATGTTTCAGGGACATAAATCAATACCTTAAAATGAAACCCGAAGCTCAGAGTGTCCATTTCCTTTAAGACACGGCTCGTTCAGATTGATTAATGACTCTTGGGGGTATAAATATATAAATATATAAATATATAAATCTCCACTTAGGCCTGTCTAAGTCTGGATTGCCACAACCTTATCGTGTGACATGTCCTGTATCACTCCTGCTCCTTGTGGTGGCACTTGCATGGTTTCCAGCTCAATCAGCTCCCTGAGCTGCTCTGCATGGGATTGTGGGACTATCCATGTGCATACACAGGATGGGGCAGAGGCTCAGAAGGCAGTGACAAGGGCAGGGCCGTGCCAGCCCAGGTTTAGATTGATTTAAAGGGTTGTAGATACAACACCCTTTTGAAACATCACTCGTTGGGAATATATTATCCTCAACTTTCCGCTGAGCCTGGAAGTTTCTAGTTGAAATGGATTTTAGATTAAGCAGAGAATTTGCAAAACAATAGGAGAGAGAAAAATGGTAGCATGAGTCATAAGCATGGGACCTTCCCCCACTGTCTGCTTAGAAGTGCTGAGATTCCGAGGATTAGTTAACAGCAGAACTGTAGTTTCCAGCATGCAATCAGCTGTTATGGCCATTGTGCTTTCAGTTTGTTGGAATAAAAGAACCACATTAGTCATCAAAACTTAGTGTTAGCATAAAACTCTGTAGTTTATGACAACTATTTTTGGACAGCACAGTTTAGATGGTGTGTTAAACGCTGATGTTTGTTAAAAGTTTATTGGTTTTATATGTTGGCAAAGGGGCCATAGGAGTCTAATAGTGGCCTATTGTAGCACTAACCCAAATGTGGCATTTGGGTTGGTCTGTCTCTGGGTTTTTTTTGTCAGGATATTTATCATTGAGAAGCACAGCAGTCAGATGTGTTCTGCAAAGCTTCGAGATTGTGATGATGTACAAATATCTTACTGGAGTAATTTTAGTCAAACTTTAAATGGGACTGTAAAGGATTTCTGCCTAGATTTATTGCTGGATCACTTCCTAAGCCTACAGTAACTTGTATGTGTTCCCTGTGGGCACACAGAGCTCAGGGGCAGTTGGCCACACAGCCTTTCTCAGAAGCAGGGAGCTGTGGGAATGTTCACCTTCTGAGCTAACAGGCTCTGGAGGATTGGGAAGGGTTTTTGTGCTTGGGTTCCAGGTGTCTGTCTGTCCCCACCTCTCTGCCTGGGGGACTGCAGCAGTCACTGGGAACTTGGAAAACCCTTCCATTCATGGGCCTTGACACCTGCTGGTGTGGAACAGCCTCAGATCACAAGTTCTGTGCTTGCTGGAGCAACTGCCAAGATGTTGCTCAGCTCCTCTGTAGCTCATCCAGAAGCACTTTGGCATCCTCGAGAACATACTTGCAAACACCAAAGCATATTGTCTTCAGAAATGAAATACTGAATTCCACATCCATCCCCATCTTTTTCCAAAGCCACTTTTTATTCTAAACTAAGGCATTTTCTTAACTCTTGTGTTTAACCAAATTGGTATTTCTTTTCATGAATTTGCTGAATGATACCATTCAATAATGGCATTATTGACAAACAAGACATTTCTTTCTGTATGGTTGGGAGGATAATATGGCCAAACTTGGAATTTAACAAAATCTGGAAATGTTTTTCAGCATTCAGTAGTAAATCATTAGTTTGGGCAACTTTACATGGCACTGTTCTGAAGGTTTTGATAGGAAATACTGTATTTGCATTGGCAAAATGAAGTGTGTTGAAATTTTTCTATGGAACTTAGAATTTTTGTGACTTGTGGAATGCTTAAAAGCTGTCATCTCAAGTTTGAACCATTTAAATGCTTCTACTCTGAACCTGCTCCCTACTCATCATTGCCATATCCTTCCCTCATTTTTAGGTTAAGGCTCCTCTTTCCCATCTCTTAATGTTTCTGTAGCTTATCTCATGTGGAGAAAGAAAGTTAAAGCTGGGATTTGCATCTACAGTGGCACTGCAGTCCAGGAAAGCTCCACTTCTGTCCTTTCCTGGCCATTCATTCCCACTCTGTGCTGCCTCCTGTGCCGTGCCAGCACACACCCACGTGGGGAACCCAACCAGGGAAGTGATTCAGCTGGAGAAGCAAAGCCCTGCAAAAATACCAACTGCCAGCATAAAGCCATGAGGTCTTGAGTGGTTGTGCTGGCTTGAGAACAAACAGCTGCAAGGGGAAAAGGCAGGAGTTGTTTAAGTTTGTTCTTCTGCTGGAAAAAGTTATAATGGAGCCACAGCCTAGAAATCAGGGTTTTACCTAAAAGTAACTGATATGTAAATGGGGCACACAAAATAAGACAGACCACAAACATGATCAGGGTGTTTGTTTCAGATCTTTGTGTTGACTTAGCCCAGGTCAGGTTAAATTAGGTTAAATTAAATCAACACAGTATTCTTGGGTAAGGAAAGCATTCCCATGCTAGTGATGCTGATGGGGCTCAGGCAAACTCCTTGACTGCTGAAGTTCACTGCAGTGAGGTTTCCTGGTGCAGTTCTTGTGAGCCAGGGGGTTTGCAGGTTGCAGCCTCTTCGAGGGGCACTGCAGAAGGTGATACTTGAACTGCAGGTGTTGGTCACTTTGTGCAGCCCATGTTGGGGGGGACTGGCCCGCTGAGCCACACCAGCAGTTTCTCAGTGTTCATGTGCACATTGCTCCACTGACTCAGCTTTGGGTCTGTCAGGGCAAGTGAGGAGGAGAAGGATTCCTCATGGGTCAAGTATTCCACTTGGTTTCATACTTATTTTCTTTAATGCTAGAGACAAACACACAACTAAACTGTGTGTGTGTGTACTACTGTGGCTTGAAGATAGCAGGGATCCAGTTGGAACAGAGTATCCTCAAAGTGAAGTTCTCTATAAAGACAATCCAGTCTAGAACTTGCTGCTGCTAAAGAAGTTCCTGAGCACTCTGCCCTTCCCCTTCCTCCCCACCCACCTTGGTGCTGCCACCTCAGATCTTTGTCAGCTGGTTTAACTCAGCAGAACACGAACCTGGCGAGAATAGAGAGTGTTCTGCTGTGTTAGGGAGTGGATGGGCACAGAAGAGGAAGCAAAAGGGCATGGCTGACAGCAAAGGCAGGGAAAGGAGTGAATCCTGTCTTTCATCTCCAAGGACAGCCTTGTGTAACTTCACTCTTAATGAAAGAGGTGATGCAGATAAGGAGCATTCCCTGTAGCATTAACACTGTGTACGTGTGCAGTGCTCACAGCAGTGCCCTGGTGTGGGCCTTGCTGCAAAGGCTGACTTCTGTGCTGTCACCTGTGACAAGCCTAAAGTTACTGGAATTAAATAATTTTTATATCATAATTAATGGTGAGAACTAAAAAAAAGTTATTAGGGAGTATATTGCACTGAGGAGGAACCCAATTAAGGTTGCGTTCAACTTGTCAGAAGAGAGAAAGCAAGCCAAGATGCACAGTTACATTGGAAACCCTCTGAAATACAGATAACCAGTGAAATCCAGAAGGATGCTCAGTTTGAGTTTTTGCTGAATACCAAGATAGAGGAAGAAGATTAGAAGATTAGAATACTCCTTTTCCCTTCTTTCTGCTTGTCTGATGATTCAATTCACTGTTGGGCAGGCTGCTCTAGCACAGGAGAGGAAGAAGGCTCCTCATGGATATCTTATAGAGCAACTTTAATATGCATACACAGATTTTTAATTCATAATTACTGTCTTCCTCAAAGATAAGGGAATAATCAGTTTGAATCCCTTACATAATCACCTCCAAGCTTCTCCTATTATAAGGGGAAGGAGGATTTATGTTTACCTTAGTGTACATTTCTAAACATTTTTGCATGTTAAACAGCTATTTTCACAAAGGTATGTGCTTTTTTGTATGTAGAAACTTTGTGTAATGCTCAAAATTCTGTGTGGAAACAGGTCTGAATCTAAAAGGGAATAATGGAAATGACTCTCTGAGCCATATTTGGGCAGCCAGGAAGGTAATGCCTGTGTCAGAGAAGATAAAGGGAAGGGAGATTGCATGAAACCCATCAGGACTGTTAAGCTGCAGTGATGCAAAGCCATTGGTGTTTTAAATAATGGTTAAAATAAATTCCTGTCGGGTAGTGCTGGACTATTTGAAATTCCCCTAGGTTTAAATAAAAAGGGAGAGGGAATTTTAACCAGCTCATTTGATAGAAAAATGACCTGCAGATGGGGTTTGAGAGAATAATAGGCAGCAGATTACAGTGGGAAAATTGTGGCAGAGCATCAGACTTTGATGGGTTTATGCAGAATGGGCAGTGGGGAGATGGGAAGAATCCCCACTGCAAAGTGCCATTATACACTCCTTTTATTTCCACTGGCTGCCCATGGACTGTAGCTGTTCATAGCAGCATAAAGTTTATGAAGTCACATATGCTGAAAAGTTTTAAAATATTAGAAGTGCTATATGATGTGCAAATAGAAGTGGGTTTTTCTTCTGTTTATGTGCCTGTTTTCAAGAACAGTTGTATGTGGAAAAGCTTATATTTCTTCCAGTCTTGACCTGCTTTGATCTAGGGCAAATACCCTTTCCCTGGTTCCCAGTGTCCTGAAATTTCATTAGTAAATATTGGGTTTTATCAACACTTCGAATAGTCCACTGAAAATGCAAACATGGATTATTTTTTTTCCCCAAAAAACCTTCATAACTGTGCCAGATTAGAAGGATTTTATGAAGGTAAAAATTTTACAGCCACCAAAATTCAATTATAAAGTGAACTTCTAAGCAGGAAAGCTTATATATATATGTATGTATATAAGCAGTATTTTTCCCTCTGTTCTGTCTTACTCTTGGGAAAATCTGAAATACACTTGGTGCAACTTAACAACAAAAAAATTGAGATTGCTTGGGCAGACTACAAAAATTAAAATATTCTCATGAACGACACCTGCAGGTTTGCTTTTTTTTTTTAATTAAATAATGGAAGCCAACATTTTTGATGCAATTCACGGCATTTTTGAGCACGGCCGTGATCTGAAGAAATATACTGTAAAATTCCTCTGTGGGCTTCCACAGCCTAGGGATGCAATAAGATGGAATGTGTTTCATGTGTACGCCTCCTGTGGGATTTTTCTTTTTGCCTTTTTTAAATTTTTTTTTTATATTTTTTTTTTTTAAAGAATAGACTTCGGTATTCGAGATACGTGCTGGGGGTGAGAAGTGGGCTGTTTCTCACAGATGTGGATTCTGTGGCAGCAGATGAACGATACCCATCTGTGGAAGGAGCAGACTGGTTGTTCTGCCCTTGCCCCTGGGCAGCAGCTTCGAAACCTTTTCTACTTGCAGCGGCCTTACCTGACCTCAGCTGGAATTCCTTGACCACTCCTTTAGTAAAGAAAGATTCCCACAAGCTGTTTCCTGCTCTACCACCAGTAGTAAGGTGAGAAAAGCAACTTTACCTGTACCAGGAGGCTCCGTGAGGCCTCAGCTCTGGCAGCGGTGGCCTGAGGGGAGCCTGTTTTCACAGACTGACCCCTGTACTTGCTCCAGTCTTTCAGGAATAATCTGTGCTTCGGGAATTAAATGATAAAA